TTCATTAGTAGAAAATAAGTTGAATATCTGAAAAAGAAATGGAAACATGACTTAAAGTATCCACAAAGCACTAAACTAAACTTTCGGATAGGCATAGTCGCATCTCATGTGCCTTTAAAGCCTGGATAATAGCATCCCTCAGTTGGAGATCTGTTGGCTAACATTCACCATGTACCTCTACCAGAACCAAACACATACAAAAATGTGCTGTGTAGCATGAATGCATGGACAAGTGCATCCTCTTTTCATGTTGAAACCCTTGCTCTGAAGAAGCAAGTCATCGCAGTCAGATCACCTCAGAGTGGAAGTTGTCCATGTTCTCTCTTCTTATCAGTACCTAATAAGTTTCATGGGGCCAGAACCGCAAATGGCATGAGGTTGTTGGGCTGATCCCAACACGTATTCCAGCGCTGATTCCTTACATAATCCACCAGTAGTTTGGTTGGATTAATTAAAACTTGAAATACAAAGTTAATGCTCAGATCACTCATACAAGCACCTAAGTCGAAATTTTCTCTTTAACATCTGACCTATAGAGTAGTGCTAAAGTGATATGCAGGATGCCCAAACTAGAACTTTCAAAATATAAGTTGTTATATAGTAATGGTTAGGTGCTTTTAGCTGTGGCTAAGTTCTACTTCTGAGCTTTAGCTTTGGTAATCTTCTAAATGTACACAGTCTGTTTCATAATCTCTTTTTTAAATAAGCATATAATCTTTGCAATCTTATAATCAGATTCATAATTCAAAAAGTTTTTAATTTAGCTAAAAAGAACTCTGGCCAGCAGACCCCAGATTTATCCCTTTTTTTTTTTTTTTTAAGATTTATCCTTTTTAAAACAGGACTGTTTGGGATGGGGTACCTGGGTGGCTCAGTGGGTTAAGCCTCTGCCTTCGGCTCAGGTCATGATCTCAGGGTCCTAGGATCGAGCCCCATATCGGGCTCTCCGCTCAGCAGGGAGCCTGTTTCCCCCTCTCTCTATCTGCCTGCCTCTCTGCCTACTTGTGATCTCTCTCTCTCTCTCTCTCTCTATCAAATAAATAAACTCTTAGAATAAAACAAGCAGGACTGTTTGGTAGCTTCTGCGAAGCCTTCAGTCCCTTAGACCACAAAGAGTAGTTTCAGATAATTTTTGGTGACTAGGCTGGCTACCATGTACATTTTTCAGTTTTCACACCCAGTGCTTCTGTACTCCCTTACATGTTTGGTCATTCATACCACAAAATACATTCTTTCTTGGAGCTTAAGTATCCAAAAGGGATTGTTGAACTTGTGACTTCAAATGCTGTCCCTAAAGGCTTCCATTTCCTCTGTTCCAAAAGTAATTTTTAAAAATATACTGTATATTGTGGAGGAACATAAAATACTTGTCTTATCCAATCTGTATACACATAATTAGATAATAAATTGTAAAAAGGTGAATTCCACTTTAATTTGAGCGGAAGAAGAATTTTCCCCTTCATTTTGATAACGTTCAGCATTTAGCTGGTCTGTATTTTTTGTATCTTTTTTTTTTTTTTTTTAAGATTTTATTTTTTCGAGAGGGAGAGAGAGAATGACCAGGGGGAGGGGTAGAGGGAGAGGGACAAGCAGACTTCCCACTAAGCATAGGAGCCCAATGTGGGGCTGGGTCCCAGGACTCTGAGACTATGACCTGAGCTGAAGGCAGATGCTTAACCGACTAAACCACCCAGGCACCCAAGTTTTTGCATTTTTAAGAATATACCTAAGCCTCTTAAATACCTGGCTTTAGACTTTGGGCATCAATAGGATAATTGTGAGTTGTGGAGTACAAGGTCCCTATCTTGGCATTTGTAGCTCTAGTGTTAGCTCTTAGACTAGGTTTATACTTATGGAAAATCAGAAGTCAAATAAACATAGTTGAGTCAGTAGTCATGAATAACCCAGGTTCAGAAAGAGGCATAAAATTCATGTGGTAAGAATGTACATAAATGTCTTGTCATGAATAACGTGTGAATACACGCAAGGGATGCTGAAATAGTCTTCGGATGCCTGTTATTTGCTATTCTTATCCATTCTCCCCTCCTCCAATATGGCATGCTACATAAAGGACAGAGTGTCGTTTCCTCCATTTCTGAAATGAGCTCTGCAGATGCTTAAGCACACATGTTTTTGTGCACATGTGTGTTAAACATATCCAGACCAGTACAGTCAACTAATTTCTAAATGCCTAAATGCAGTGCAGGTAAGGATTGTACAAAGAACATTATTAGTGTTGTTGTTTAGCTCTAGAATAAAAGTGTAATCTACTTTGAAGTGTAATCTCTCTTTGAGATTATGGCCTTTGGTTTTTTTTTTTTTTAGATTTTTATTTATTTATTTGACAGATCACAAGTAGGCAGAGAGGCAGGCAGAGAGAGAGAGAGGAGGAAGCAGGCTCCCCGCTGAGCAGAGAGCCCAATGTGGGGCTCGATCCCAGGACCCTGAGATCATGACCTGAGCTGAAGACAGAGGCTTCAACCTACTGAGCCACCCAGGCACCCCTGGCTTTGGTATTTTGGTGTTATTTTCACTTATTGATTCATCTGCGATGAAGATGTTTCTCTTCATCTGTTATGAAGACTGTTTCTCCTAATCATCTTAAAGTCTTAGAAGGCTGAAGACTTTTACTTAAACTGTGTTTTCTGTCTGTACACTTATCCTACAGTATAGCTGACCTAATTGTTAAGCAAAACTAAAAAGATTCCTGGTCACTTTAATTTTATAGGCCATGATTTCTGACCTCAGATCAAATTCTGTTATCACTGATGGAAGAAGCTCAGAGACCTCTGCCATCAAGGGGTTAAATTCTTTCATTAAATACATTTATGAGGGACCACAGCCATTTTGCCTGTACTGCTTTTTTTCTTTTTCTTTTTTTTATTTTCTAGTTCACTAATCAAATGTATGTTAGATTGATTATTGTAAAAGTATAAACCATGGAAAATTTGACAAGATAGATGTGTAAATTATCCTTCTGACAGAACTAATGATGCACTCCAAGCACCTTCTGTTTTCCAGCGCTTGGTGAGCAACTTCATTAAATATGCAATGGCTGTTGGGTGGCTTCTCAGAGGATGGTTCAGCTCCTTGTGGAATTGCATTATTATTAGAGGTGTAAAACCAGGCAGACAAGCTAGCTGTTGGGCATCCTGCTGAGGTTCTAATGTGCTCCATCTTGTTGGAGCAGTTGTTTGCAGTCTTTTCAGGACAATTACATCCATAACCACAGGACACATTCAGTGAAACTATATTACAGATAACGGAGACTAACATTGACTGCTCTTCACCCCTCTCCCTTGAGCTGCCTCAGTGTGGGTAGCTTATAATAATGCGACTTCTATCACTCACAAAGTAGTTGTGTTTGTTTTTTTTTAAATCCCTTGGAGCAAATCGGAAAATAACTGATTTGTAACTTTTTTGAGTGCTTAAAATCATAAGCTGTTTGAGTTGAAAGACTTCATAGATTCTAATCCCTTTGAAGATGACAAAACCAAGGCTAAAGCATTGTAGTGAGTTGTCCTTTCGGGAGCTAGTAGGAGGACGCGGTAGGACATCTTTTTGGTGATAGAGATTGCATGAATAAGAATCTGTTTTGTCTGGCTTCTGGTTTTAGAGCTCTTTTAAACAGTTTTTTTCTTTTTGAATTTAAGATTTTTTTTCCTGCTGTATCTCATTTTTCCCCATCTTAATTCCAGCAAACTTTTTTATTTCTGCAAGTCAAGCAGAAATACTTTGCTTTCTAAGGGTATCATGCTATAATTTTAATGACAATTTGATAGTTTCCTGGAGAACTGGACACAAAGATGGTTTCAGTTGAGCCTGAAATGGTATTTAAGGTTCCAAATGGCAGATGCTACAGTGTATCACTGCAGCCTGATAAATGAGATTGCATTTTAGAATGACAGGCTGAGTACTTTAATGAAAGAAGGTTTCCATTTCAGTTGGCCAATTAAATCACTGCTGATGACTTTGGATCATTAATGAACATTTGTGGAAAATGACCATTTGAATTCAATTATTACAATAATAGTTTGAAAAGTACTAACTGCAAATAAGCCTATCTGTAAATTAAAAGATTTATCCATTTTGCCACAGATAAATTAGCATATTGCTTTGCTTTTCTTAATGCCAAAGCAAGTTAGCATTTCAAAATTTTTTTTACAGATTAAGTACATATTCTTTCTTATAAAAGTTCTACTTAGAAAAGTTTGTTTTTTCATTGGGTGCCCTCAAAAAGATAATTTATGCTGTGGATCATCATATTACTTCATTATTTTTAAACCAGCAAGAGCTGGAAACAGAAAAGGGGAACATTATACAATATATAAAAGTAGATTAAGTTTTAAATGGATTAGGTATTTATTTAGTGCCTTAAAAAAAATCTTTAATTCTGGAAAAACAATAGGAAGAAAATAACCATTATTAGGGAACATGTGAATTTATTTAAAAGCAATATGAAAATAAAATGCAAATGAAAGTTTCATAACCACATTTTTTTCTTAAACCCATTACAGGTTCAGGTTTCCTTAATTATTTTAAGCTTTACAATATTTTATGGATGTATATATCCTGCCATTTTTGCTATAATATTCCCAATAAATTCATTTGGAGATGATGTTTTTCTTTAGTTAACTTCATTTTCTCTGAAACTTTGGCGTGTTTCGGTAGTTAAGACAGGAGGTGGGTTCTTTTGAAATGCATGTTTTTCTCATTTTATTATTTGTGAAGTGGCCCTGATCTCAGCCCAGGCTTCCTTCATCTCCGTTTCACAGTTTACAGAGAAAGGAGACACTGTGGAGCTCAGGCTTCCCCTGGGAATACATTGGGCTTAATGAGCTTGATAGTCTGGTGGGCTCAATAAATCAAATAAAGCAAAACATTTCTCATTTTTGAATAAAAGCATTTATCACACAGTGTTTGTTCATTCATGGTCACAAGATTGATTGGTTCTCAGCATCATAGTGTATACTGAAGCATTTTTGATTTTGTTTTTCCAGTGGGCAAGTTACGGAAGCAGTGGCTAAAGGAAAGTATCTCTGATGTTGGCTTTGGGATGCTGAAGTCTGTCAAGGAGTATGTGGACCCCAATAACATCTTTGGAAACAAAAACCTTTTATAAATCCATTACTGTTGTTACAAAAAAATGTCACTTTTTTTTTTTTAAGTCTTCAACTATGGTTATACCAGTAATCAAATATATCATGGACTGTATTTCAGCAAAATTTGTTTGTTGGTTGAAAATAAGTTGTTAATCATTCTGTATTTATTTTGTTTCTACATCTATGGATTGACAGATGGTATTCCTAAATCTCTCTCCTTGTAGGTGTATCAGTTGACCGCCAACTGGTTGTCATTTCAAATTTTAGTCAGGCAGCACAAGGCTGCTAGCTGTTATTTCAAAGGAAGATGCTGCCAGCTGCTCTGTATTGATGCCTCCCCTTGGGAACAAAGGCAGATACCTAAGGGAAGGATTCCGTTGCGGAGTGATTACAAATTCTAGTGTGAGTAGGCCATTAAGGAGGGGACTCAGGAAAGAACATAGGCAACCTGTTACTTAGGATACCTTCAGTTCTGTGAGGTGCTTGGCCTACATTTTTCTTTGAAATGAGTATACAGTTGTAGACCTTAAGTCAGTCTAAAAATTATTGTTAGGGACATGTTTTAGTTTGTTTCTACTGAGGTATGAATTGTATGTGTATAACTGAGAAAATCTCTTGTTATATCCTAGTTCCTTCATAATATGTTGTATAAGAAAAACTGACCTATCACTCATTGTATTTGAAGGACAATTTTACCATGAAATGAATGCCTTTATCAGCTTAACAGTCCTAATGTTTCTGATTTCACATTCTTGTTGCTGAGATGCAGAAGAAGCTGCAATAGGAGCAGAAAAAGGAAGAATCCTTACACTTCATATCTCCAGTTCAAAGAATCGTTTGGCTAACGAAACACAGTTATCATTTAACTGCTGAATTTGAAAACTTCAAGTTTTAGTAACAATTACTTTTTAATTAATCCAAACAACATGATAAATTTTCATATAAAACTAAAGTTTCAGTTTAGTTTTTAATAGTGATTTAACGCCTTTTTGAATTACTGGTTTAACCTAAATTTTGAAAAAAATGTATTAATACACATGCCATAATCAAAAGTTTGAAATGTCATATTTCTTAAATAATAGGGAGAACGTTAATCACATTTAGCAGACATTTTTACATTCAAACCTGGATATTAAAATAAGTGAAATTATTACTTTGAATCACTGTCTGTCAAGGTTCATGATTCACATTTTGGGATGGATTCTTTTCTTAATGCAATACCTAACTTTTGATAATTTTTTAAAATTAATATTTGATCAAATAATATAAGTCAGAGTGCAGACGATCCTTTAAAAGGACACGCTGTCTATGTAGCAACAGCCCCAAAGTATTTTTGGGCAGTTTGATACCTTTTATATCTGAAGTATACTTAACCAGAAAAGTGAAAATTTAAATTGACAAAATGGTATTTTTAAGACTTCAAAATGATAAAACAATTTGTAATAAAATTGGCCTCAAACTAATAAACTTAAAATCTGTAAGCAAATCAAAATTAAATATCAGTTTAACAACAAAAACTAAATCTTTATTTATTAGAAGCTGCCTCTCTTCACTGGTGATTTATTTTTAATTATAAAATTTCTAGCAGATCTTAGCTTTAAAAGCCCTTGCTATTTGAAATAGTTGGATGTTTGATGAGGAAATTCCACTTGCCTCTAGAATTATAAACTCAGCTTTATAAAATGCATCTATCTATTCATGAAGGTAATTTCTCTAACTGGTGATCAAAATGTAAAACTTAATACACTAGTAATATCTCACTGGAGTGTATACATGTTTCTGAGTAATTTCTTTTTTAATAAAATTTACAGATTCATAAGCAGACCCATTCCTTTGCACGTGATTGTTCTAACATTCTCTCCCAGAGAGTTCAGATTTCAACAACCTCAGAAATCTGTATTTGGTTTTAGGAAACTATAAATGTCACAGCTAAAAATTGTTGTGTTCACTGTTCTACATGAACCTTACGGAATAATTAGTAATTTATGTCTTTGTTTTTCTTCTCCCATGTATGCAGGACTCCCCAACCTTGATTTTATAGTGATGACTACATTCTGTTCTTGGAATGATTTCTACAGGGATTATTTTGAAACAGATGAACACTCGCCAGTGCTGTTTCACTCTGATTTAGTAAATCAGAAACCCTGTACCCCACTTTCTCACACCTGCTTCTGAGAGATACCTCAGAATATACTTAGTTTCTATGGAGAACTGGGTTCTTGATTATGCACAGAGGCACTTAAGCCTTGCCTCATATTTCTGGAATATCTGAAAATGGCTTCATAAAAGTTAAAGCCTGGAGTATATTGTTTATGTGAGGCTTTTAAACTCATTTTGACTAAGTTTCTTTAAAATTTTAAAAGCTCATAACTGATTTGGTTTTTAGTACAGCATAAACCTTGACTTGTCTTTCTTAAATTAGTCATATTTCTAATATTTGTTGATGTTACATTTGGGTTGAGGTTTTAGTGGGACTAGGAACTTGCTGCTAGTCAGAAGTGGCATTGAATACTAAAGACTCCATATGAACAGGCTTTATTGACCTTTAGAGAAACTGATGCCTTAATGTCTGGTGCAAAATACAGTGCATAAGTGAATTTTGTCTTATACTGAGTAACTTGAGCTTTTTTAGTTTAGTAAGAATTGTGGAAGCCACATGTTTATTGTGCCCAGCATTTTACCACAAAGAAAGAGGATTGAATTCTTTCGTCTTGGGAGGAATTGGGAATTTACATCCTAAACGCTTACATATTTAGTACTATTACTTAAGAGCTACTTATGAAGCTGGAGGCCTTCTTAAATGTAGTTGTATTGATGTATTTTGGAAAACAAAAGCTCAGTGAAGGATGAGCTTCCATCAGTGTGTCAGATACAGAGGGTTGCAAGGAAACCTGGTTTTCAGAATATTCTCTTAGTAACTGCTAAGTCCTAGCTTACATTTTTGATAATGCCTTTCTGCATGCTGGCTCCAGAGATTTTTCTTTGTTCTTTTCTTTTTTAGCTACAACTTCTTAACCAGAGCTGATCAAAGAAGCTCTGTAGTCCCAAGCTGAAGCGTGTAACCTCAGCTGTTCAAATGGGGCTGGGTGTGGTTGAGCATCTATTCTGTATAAATGTAGAACACAAACAGTTCCTTATCATGGATTCAGAAGCTACATGTGCTGGCGCTTGAAGCACCCACAATGGAATGCTGTGGAAAGTGTGTGCATTTTAAGAAACACTAAGACAGGCATTAAGGACAGCTTTAATAGCTTTTTGTTTACCACTTAATCTTTGGCAACTTTTAATTAGGGCTTAGCTCATGGTGGAAGAAAAGCTGAAAATAACAAGTGCCAGTGTTGGATTGAAGAATCCAGAATCACTTTTGGCTTTACGAGTATGGAAGTGTGGCTTTGCTCAAGGCCCCAGATGAACCATATGTCGATACATTCATTGAATTCTTACTCATTTCAGGGTCCTGAAAAGGAAAGAATGTATACATTGATGCTGAAATTCAGAAAATGTAAAAGATTTTTTTTTAACTTTTGAATTTCATGCTGTCTGCTATGAAGGATGTAAGACACTTGGGTTTCTGCTTCCTAAACCACACTGTTTGCCTTCAGTGTGGAATTTGTAAAAACTACTTGTAACATCAACAGGTTATAGAAATGTATATCATTAATAAAATGCACCCAGGTCTAAGAGATTTTGTTTTCTTCAAAGGGAGTGGGAAGCTCATTGTTCTGTTTGCATATGGGTTTTTCTTTCATTTTTAGTTTTTCATCTTCATATTTCCACTGATTCAAAAACAAAATTTTATAATTTTATTAATGAAGTATAATCAAGCCCCTTTAGAATATAGTTAGCTAGATTTTATCACTAATTATTTTTTAAATCAATGTTATATTCCTAGGAGGTGTTTAGTCTCCCTTGAACCTGAAGCATTCCAATTTGAACCTAGGAAGATCCTCAGAAAATGAGCACTGTGCTCTTCTAACCACAACAATTCCTTAACAAACGTGAGTGAGGACCACTGATATATGGAACACTCAAGCCAAAGAACCATCACAGAATGAAGGAACTTGAGTTCTGTGAACATGAAAAGATTTCTTTTTTGGTTCCCAAAGGAGATTTTTTTTATAACGCTTTTTTTCCCCACAAGGAAGAAAAATAACACATTAAGTATCATTAAGAACATTTTTCAGAGACTGAACTTCCAAATCTAAGGGGGAGAGAGAAGGAAAAGAAAAATGTTTTAGTGTGGATTTCTAAGCTGCACAAATACCTGTTTTTCAGGCATCTTATTATTAGCAGTGTTTTTCATGAAAAATATGAGCACCCTATGAAACTTATGGTTTAACCCTTAAAGTAATCTTGTTCACATATCCGTAAAGAACATGAAATGCTTATACTGGTATACAGTTTCTATAAATAATTATTTTTTTGGACCTCGTAAGGAATTTCCCCAAAAGTTTACAGTGCCTTGTTGGGATTTTTTTTTGTTTTTCCATGAAATAGCCATTGTTTAAAATAAGTGGGAGAGGATAATTAAGTCTTTAAAGACTGAGATTGTTTAGTAGTTCAGGGCTCTTCCTCTTCAAGAATATGTCAGGAATTAGTTATGAGTAGAAATACTGAAAATCCTTTCCACAGTATGGGTTTGGATCATCTGTTCTAGTCTGTTTCACTAGTTATACAGTGGACCTGTACTTCATATATCCATTCAGTTGATGGGATTTGTATGTACTTTCATTCTTAGATTTTCATTCCTATTGTCCCAACTTAGTAGCCCTAACTTAGTAGCCCTAAGATGTGGCTTAGTGGATGTGCCCTACTCAGTCAGTCCCTAAGACACCCGCTACTTGCTTTTGGATGTTAGCTCACACAGCTCCCTGAGGAGCAGGGCCTGTTGGGGTGGGGGGATCTATTCCTTATATTGTGTGTCAGTCTTTTTTTCTGTGATGGTGCCTTCAGAATAATGAGTATTTCTGTTCCTGGACAATGATAAATCTCACGAGAAATATGTGTAGATTATATCTCTTAATTTTTGTCCTTTTTTGCTAAGCCTGTGAAATACTTTGGCTCTGATACAACTTGACTTGAATAATATCTTATCCTGAGTCTTCCTCCAAGGCAGTACATATTCCTGCCAGTACTGTAGTAATCTTTTGGGAACTACATGTGGGTAAGCTCTTGTATGTAAGCCATTATATTGCTGTAACTAATGCATACAAACAGTTCTTCTCTTTACGTTTATAGTTTAAATGTTGATACGTAGTGGGAAGGGAAGTTCCTGAGAGATTCAACGCAGCTTTGTCAGTTCAGACTGAGCCATACTGTTTTCCACAAGGGCTCAAAACATAGTCTATCTACTGTGCTTTTGGTGTATGTTTGGATTCTCCTTTTATTGCTTTTCCTAGACTGTACTGTTCTATAAGCAAATGCCCATGTATGATTTTTAAGATGTGCTGGGAAGAAATAAAACAATATCAAAACCGCTCATTGTTACAGAAGTTGTTGCTTATTTCACATTGATCCCAGTTAACCTTATTTCAGCAGCATCATGCTAGGCCAGCCAGAGGGTGGAGAGAATATAGTCTGTATCTGTGAGTAGCCTCTCTATTACTGAAGGACATGTGTACAGATACTCATCTTCTCCCTGCCTGTGGCTCCTGTACTGGAGGGAACGTTACAGTTTTCTGGGCTCTGAAATGATTGAGGATCAAACCTGTTGAACCTAACCTTACTTGGTACATTTCAATAACCACTTGCCTCACTAAGATTTCAGCTCTTAGTTAAATAAAGAAGTTTTCTGCTTGGCTCATATGAGCTTGGACTGAATGAACCTTAGAAATCCTCTCATCTTACCTTTTCCTAAACATAATTGTCTAATTTCCCCTATCCCCCAGGCCACAGTTAACCAGTCTTCCTGAACATTTGCTGTGACCACAGGGAATTTATTGTCTTTCCAGGAAGCCTGTTCCAGCTTGAAATCTTCAAGTATTAAGGGTTTTTTGCCGTTTAAACAAATCCACCTTCCTCTTCTATTCACTAAGGTGACTTTTAGCTCTGTAGTCCTAGAGAATTGTCCAGGTGCTCTAGTGAAGGGCAACTCATGTTCCCCCACATCTTCTTCAGTCAGCTTTTGCTCCTGTGACTTGCAGAACCATCACCATCCCAGTCTCTCTTCCTGTGTGCCTCCTTGATACGGTGGGGGTTTTTTTTTTTTTTGTTTTTTTAGATTTATTTATTTTAGCAGGTGGAGGGACAGGGAGGAGGCGAGAGAGTCTCAAGAAGATTCCTTGCTGACTGCAGAACATGACACAGGGCTCAGTCTCACAACCCTGAGATCATGACCCGAGCCAAAACCAAGAGTCAGCGTTTAACTGACCGTGCAACCCAGGTGCCTCAAAATTTTATTTTTAAAATTTTATTTAATTATTACTATGTTTTCTTTTTTAGAAGAAAGTGTATGAGCAATCAGGGAGGAGGGACAGAGAGAGTATCTCAAACAGGCTGTCTGCTGAGCGGGGCTGGATCCCACTACCCCTAAGATCAGGACCTGAGCTGAAATCAAGAGTTGGATACTCAACTGACTGAGCCACCCAGGTGCCTCCTCTTTGATGTTCTTAAAGTGAAGCGTCTAGGCCTGTATGGGCCAGAGTAGTAGCAATGATTTCCTTATTCTAGTCACTAATAAATGCATTTTTGATGAACATTGCACTGTCTCTTCACACTGAACTTGAATTTAACAAAGCTTGTCTTTTCTGCATATGCCATTTTGGCCACATCTCCCTGGAGACTGATTTTTTTTTTTTAAGTCCAATTACTTTCATTTATTCT